AAAACTTACACCACTTTCAACGGCTTGTCCATCGTGAGGGAGGTCCATAATTGCTGTCCTACTATGAGCATCACCACTCATCGTCCTATTTTTAGTCGTTCGCCTGGATTCAGCCTTTAGCGATTTCTCCTTAGCAGATTTTCTACCGTTTTGACCTTCCTCCTTTTTTATCCTGATCTTTTGAAACACCTCAGTATTTACTGATAGCTTCGCATGCTTGGATCCGCCCTCCCCATTCTGACCCTCCTCCTTCCGGCGAACCAATTTTTGAAGTTTTTCGTTTGTGTGGGCCAATTTTCCTTGTTTCTGCTCTCCACCACCCATACTTGTTTTAGAGGTATCTGTAGGCATGGTAGTGTGGCTAGTGAGATCCAACAAATGCAACAGAGACTGCTACAATCTCATCTTTCGTGGGTGGATTAACTTGCATTCGCTTAACAGTGTGAGTATGTGCATATCCTAGCCTCCGTATTGGCTGTCATCCCCACTTCTGCGAAGTCTTGCACCTTTTTACTGATCTCTCTACTAGAATCGGTTGATTCATTGGTGATTGAATAATCTGGAGGGCAAACCTTGTCAAAGGACTTTGCGCAAAGTGTAAAACGATTAAAGGAACTAATAGAAAATACTGTAGCGTTGATGTTTGTCATGTTCATCTTTCTGTATGTGAGAAGCATATGGCTCTGAGGTGGTGAGTAACGCACATCAAACAATGTCAAGACATTTAATAAAATTGATATGTCACTTCAGTAAGCTAAGCCGAATCGAAAAGCTCTAGCTACCAATTCAGTGAGGCCTTTGTTGCCACCGAAGGGTTTAAACAAACTAGACGATTACGATTATCTAAGTAAAATATATATAAACATTAAAACTTTTTCTTAGTGCAAAATTAAAGCATTAATAAAATCTATTACGAGCCCATACCAGATGGTATATGACCAGAAATATTTGTGGCACTGAAGCTTTGCCTTTATCAAAGTTTCGTTAAATCACTTTTACTTGCAAAATGCAACAGGAAAATTAAAGCAACATTATAACGTTAAACAATCTACTAGTTTTGCGGATTTTATGCAGAAAAGTTCAATCTCAAGGTCTGCATTGATGTGCTTTTGAGGTGACTCTCGCCACACCATAAACATGTAATTTTTGCTGCAAATGGCAGTTAAGTCAAATAGACTTGAGATAAACGCTGTGACTTCTAGCAGTTGCATTAGTTTCAGCTTTGTAGTAGGAAAAGATTTAAAAACAGACTCTTCAAAAATCATAATCCAGCCTTTGTTTGCTAATACCAACAAGGTGTCATGAGGTGGGAGAAGCGAATGTGAGGTGGTAATGAGGAAGGTTATATTGATCCCATTCATTGCTTTTTGGTGGCGAGATGCTACTCATAATAGGAGACCTTAATTATAGCTTCCGCTTTGCCAATAAAAGACGCAAGGCAATGTAGCAGCTGCCTAGTTCTTATCAGAAGACATACCTCCACAATTCAGTCAGGCGCACTTCAATCCCTTATTTTGTACACGTAACTGTAATATATGTTAGTTTGTTTAAGTGCGCTTTTATAGGTTAGAGGCGGAAACCAATTGAGAAAGCGATTCAAGTGTGTGAATTTGGCGGGGAGTCTTCCTCCAATTGATATCTCCTCCTCGTCTCATCTACATCCCACTCCCCATTTTTCCTATAACAAATGCCAGATAAATCATCTGCAACCAACTCTTTTTTGAAGTCTGTGGTTCAAGGACCAGAGGGTAGATGGGCAGCTCATACATTAGCTATGCCTTTAGGGGACGCAGATGAGACAAAAGCCTGATTATGCAAATGTAACCGATCACAAATCTTTCAATCCAGTTTACTGAGGACAATGACGAATATAAACCCTAAGAAAATGTATTTTCCAGGGACTCTGTCAGAACGAGCTGCAAGGAGACGTTTGTTATAGGTAACAATTCACAAAAAGAAGTTGTACTGCTTTGTTTATGTGACCACCTGGCGTTTGGAGGTCACTTTAAGATTTGTTTGGTCCTTGTACATGGGAGCTGGCCTTCGGGTCATGCTCAGGCCTAGTTGCTTTGTTCTCTTTGGAATACATGTATTCGGCTTCACTCACTGTCTTCCCCCACACTATTTTAGATTTAGTGTGTCAAATACTTAATGGTAATTAATTGATAGCTATCATGATCATTGGTCAAATTCGAAGACTTCCTAGTCTCTAGCCAAAAGGCTTCAAATTCATCCACAAGTGCTCCTTACTCCCACCTAGAACAAGTCTACAAGAATTCTCAAGTATGGAGTGTAACGCAATTAGAATGCCTACAAATATCCATTACAATACCTTGATTGGCTGTCTACTTTTAGGTCTTGCTTTGTGGGTCTGCATGACGTCTCTACTACCGAGAGAAGGCTGCAAATGCGTAGGTTTAGATTTGAGGGAGGATTATCATACTTTTCGCAGAGCTTGGAGGTCAATCCGCCTAGCAGAAGCAGTTCGTATTAGACAAATCCAATTATGTCTGCCAGACGTCGACAGAATAGTCTGGCCTTTAAGTTAAGCAAATGGCCTCACCTACGTTCATGTGACAGCACATTTAGTAATTATTGCCTCGCTTTGGCCTTTCAGACCTCAGCAGCTAAGTGACGGCTATTTAAGTGCTAATGAAACACCCAGTTTGCTCCACAACCAATATTAACGGCGGTCACATCGATGGCCGCTTTTGGTTTTTTGAGTCCGGTGGCTTGAGTTAATTGACATGCCAAATCCCACCACCCCTCCTCCTTCCATCTAAGCGAGGCTAATCGTCTTGTGACTAAATGGAGCTACATGAAACTGCAAAACAAAAAACATTTAAACCTTAATGAGAACGAGCCTTAAGGATGCGCTCAAATGTTTCACAGTACTGCACAGAGGGGCGTGCTGGTAAGAGAGGCGGTTAAGGTCATGAAGGGGACAATGCTGATACAAATGAAGGTACGTAGTGTAGTGTAATACTTTGGTTGATTGACTACCCGTAGCTAATGGCAATCTCTAGAGCGGCCTTTTTGGGCTGACTTTTTGGCTGACTTTTGGGCTATACCATGGCCTCGCATGCCCTTTTCCTGTCTGCATCAAATGCAATACACTGTGAGGTCTGGAGGAATGGTAGGAGATGGTAGAAGAAAGTTAACCCGAC